GCCTTATTAAACGAGGCACAGATGGCACCTTCGATAAATGAACATACAAACACGAACGTATCCTTAATACGCGGAGGGTGAGTTGCTGTTTTATTGTAGTTTTCAATCGATGTTGTGTCGGCGCCAACCCGGCCATCGACCCCGCGACCCGACGCGATTCCATCAAACATATTACGTATATTAAATACTAATTTACACACGGATTTCATTAGGATTCTACCGGTGGAAGGACCTCTTGTGAGTCGGCACGGGCGGGTGCCACCACCCTGTCTATCTCAGACGTGAAGCAGTAATGCGTTTCGGTTTGAAGGGTAGGGTAGTGTTGTAACTATACTGAAACCTTGGAACTTATATATCAAGGTAGGTGGCGGCATTTACGTTGTAGATGTGTATGGGCTCCGGTAACCACTTAACACCAAGTGGACGGTGCACTCGTCTATCCATATGAGCAATAAAAAAAAAAGGTAGGTTTTAGCATTGAATGAGCAGTCAATTTGTTGCGATCTTAGTTTATTCGTACTGTAGCGCGCCATTCGCAGTGCAGTAACATCAACCAATACGAGCTCACATTACTTACGTGGTTTTGAATTCTTTACAATAACATTATGCATTGTATCGAGGAAGACTTAACTTTGTAAGGTGTATATTATCTAATGAGGTACATATTTAATTTAATCTTATTTATATATATGTATTTTCATATATTCTCTAACTTTCCTAATCTTTCCTAATCTTTCCCTTGCGAATCCGATCAAGTTTTTTTTTTGATTACGTAGTTTCCCAACCTTTTATTTTGCTCTGTGGCAAATGCGCAAGCCGCGCGAGCCAAAATCTAACAGAAGAAGAAGATCGGTGAGTCGGCGGCAGATTGAGAAGAATAAAGCCCATTAGAATTCATTACAAAGCGTAGGTTTTATTATTGACATGCACGTTTTCTCGTTAAAGTATATTATAATCTGCTTATATATTGGAATGTTTGTGATTTTCCCTCCATTTTTTTACCGCCTCGTGGCAATGCACCGCGTATAACGTCAATTACTAATGATTCAATTCTGTACTAAATATGATAGTTTTACTAAATGTTTTAAGGGATTCAAATTTGCTAATGCCTTAGCATTTTCTCTTGGGTAAGCGATTACTACTTTTTTGATTAACCAAAAGGAAAATATGCCACGAGTGGAAGCCAAATATAACAGTACTCCATTACGAAAACATATATTATCACACTAATTTGGAGTATTCAATCACACGCCCTGTAACTAGTGTTGCGACACGCTGGGATTCAAATACACAATAGATACCCGTTTATCTAAATAAATATGTATCTAATATGACGTCGTTTCTACTTACGATGATGGAACAGTATCGAGTATTAAAAAATAATACATTTGCGTAGAGACTATATTCAGCCAACACGGGGAAGGTCTTACATTTCTGCTGCGATATTCGGACCTCGGTAGGGTTAACTAGGGTTGCATCTTTCGATATTCACACCGGTCGTATCTTTAATTAGACCACGAACACTCCGTATTTTAAAAAAGAGAGAGACGTATCGCTTTTTTGTTTATTTTATTGCTTAGATAGATAAACGAGGTAGAGGAAGAGATAGATTAGAAATAGAGGAAGAGGTAGACTTAAGAGGGAGTGAGCGAAGAAATGCTGTATGACAGAGGTGTATGGAAGGAGAAAACATGTTGCGCCGATCCTAGGTGACTGAGAGAAGGGCAGGAGAATGATGTATGAGATAGGTAAACGATCTCACGGCTGACCTGCTGTTAAGTGGTTACCGCAGCCCGTAGACATCAACAACGTAAATACTGTTACCCACCTTGAGACGTGAGGAGAGAAAACCAATGCGGGAGCATGAGGTTTGATTTTAGAACTCGCGTAGCTGACCTCGGCAATTTTGGTTCCGGAGGGATTACACATGTTCCATCATGCTTATGAATTAGGTATTGTTTTTTTTGTTTCACTGAAATCCTACTTTCTCTGAACTTTTAGTAGTTAATCAACAACCAAAGACTAGAGACTATATATATATAGACTAAATATAAGACTATACTAAAGATATAAATCCATAGACAAAATTATTAATCAATCAACATTCAATTCCTACCAACCATGGATCTATGGTGATATGGTAAGAATTCTAACTATTACCATATTGAAATTCGAATTATTTCGTCTAATGTAAAAGCTCCTTTATATCACACGTACAAAAACCTTTTATAATAGAAAGTAAAATTAATTATAGAACTAAATTAACGTTGTTTTTGGTATTTTAGTTCAAATAATAATTCTTAGTTAAAGAGAAATTAAAACATCATTAGATTAAGAGCATAATTTTCATTTCATTAGACCTCGAGAAAAAAAATAATTAAAGTTCTCTTAAGGATTTCAAAATTAACCTTTGTAAACTAGAAATAAGTAGGACATTCTCCCTCCCTCTCTCTTTCTTTCCCTCCCTCCCTTATTCTTTAAGATTAAAGCACATCTAGATATGTTCTAATAAAAGTATTTAAATGAATATGTTGTTGTATTGATTATTATATTCGCGGATAGTATAGAATAGTATATCTGAGGAGGATAGTATATCTGATGAAATTGGAATTTTGTAATCGTCATTAACCAAATACAGGTTTCCCGTAGCTGCGTTTATAAGTAGTATCAGATTCCGTGATAACTTAGTCGGGAATCTTTTTATTATCTAAAGGAGCATAGGACCGTATGATACCGACGTATGAGAAATGTTTTATTTTATTTATGTATTGCTTAGATGGATGGACGAGCTCACAGCCCACCTGGTGTTAAGTGGTTACCGGAGCCCTTAAACATCTAAAACGTAAATGTGCCACCCAGCTTGAGATATAAGTTCCAAGGTCTCAGTAGAGTTACGACGGCTGCCCCACCCTTCAAACCGAAATGCATTACGGCTTCACGGCAGAAATAGGCAGGGTGGTGGTACCTACCCGTGCGGACTGACAAGAGGTCCTACCACCAGTAAAATAAAACCTTACTATTGTATATGGTCATTAGCAACGTCAAGAGTATTAAAGGTCTAGATACTGTCTACCGGCTTATTAGTACCGTAACAAATACAATTGTAATAAACTTTTAAGTTCGTTTGTGTGTGCTTATCTTCACAATAGCTTGTACATATAAAGTGTACAAAGTGTTTGTTCATGTTATGAGCTTCGCCAGAGTTAGTTGAGAAGTATAAATTATATTTTTTTTAGTAAAAATATTAGAGATTTTACAATTAAATAAAGCTACGCGAATGAAGGTCGCTACGAGTCTAGGTCCGAGATTAAATCAAAGTTTTACTAGAACAATGCTTACTTTACCTTCAGACCAGACCGACCGATTTATTGTTTGGTGTCAAAAAAAGAAGAAAAGTGATACTTCACCGTGTCAAAATAGGAGTTAAGGAATTAAAGTGACAAATGGGTTGTTAAGTTGTTATGGCATCCAGATTCCACCTTCTTCTTCTTCTTTTTCTCCACCTTATCCCACTAAGTGGGGTTGGCTAAGCTAATTTTTCTCTTCCATTCTCTTCTATCAGCCGTCATCTTAACACTCACTCCTCTCTCTCTCTCTCTCTCTCATATCGTCATTCACGCATTCCATCCATGTCTTCTTCGGTCGACTTCTTTCCCCTCTACCTTGCATTGCTGCAAGATAGAACTGTCTTAACCTCTCTGTCTTGATACTGGAATTTCTATTGTTATACATGCTAAGATACATCGACAGCGTTTCTGCGGTAGCTTGAATTGACCAAGGTCGCTAATACCAGACAGATTATTATGTAAGATGGTCTGGTTTAGTAATTGGTTGTGCCCTAAATCTTGAGGATTCTAGCTTATAACCTATTGTTGCCAAGGGACATTGGACCCAAGCGTATTTCTATAAACATTTTATTATTATTACTAATATGTGTGGTCGAGCTTACGGGCCACCTCGTGTTAAGTGGTAATCGGAGCCTTTAGACATCAACAAAGTAAATGCAGCCACCACACTTGAGTCATGCGTTCTCTTTCTCAATTTTATAGTATTTTATAGGCTGCCTTGTCCTTCAAAATGAAACGCGTTACTGCTTCACGGCAGAAATAGGTAGAGTGGGTAGTACCTACCCGTGTGGGCTCACAAGACTGCCCCACCATCAGTAAATTAAACATTGACTGACTGGCTACATACACTGTTGTCGCTAGGAACAAAGGCAATAAAAAAAAAAAAAAGAACAGGAACTATTTTTATCTCAATACCATCACTATATGATGACATTCGAGTCTTAATAACGAAGTACTTTATTTGACATTTGTAGTCACAGCGGAACTTATACGTGATAAAGGAATAATAGAGAGTTGTTACAACCATATTTAATTGCCCGTATTTTTGCGGTTTCTGTTCTTACGAATTCCTACTAGAAAACAAGTTGATCTAGACTTCGAATAATAAATACCTTAGACAACCTTGCCCGGCTATCAGACGCCTGTAGCATAACAGACACGATCTAAGTTAATGTTTGACTGAATATTACATTGTTTGAAAAAAATTCTCCGAACGTAATCATTACATATCATAAAGGTCATTAATACCATAAAGATCGGACGCTTGCTATGGGTATGACGCGTGGTACGTACGGATGAGGTTTGAGTACGCAAAAGCTTTTCGAAAGGCCCGCTGGAGGGCCACTGAAGCAGAAGTAGGTCCAAGGTTGGATGTGATAACGAATATATTGGACTGGAAAAACTGGATTGATCAAACTAAGGTCCACCCGTGGCCGAAATGACTTCGATCATTATGATAGCCATAAAATATTTTTGTTTAACGTTTCGATAGATAAAACTAAAGAGTGTTAAACTACCAAGATCCCCTCATTCAATATGTCCTGAGCATCCACCCTAGTGCCTGTCAGAACTAGTGGAAACATGATCGAGCGAATTGATAAGTCGAACTGACCAAATATTATAAGGGCGGTGCGTTTGTTTCGTACCCCTCAATTATCACAATAGTATTGGAAAAGGCGAACGGCTTACGGCAGGCGAATCCATCCCCTAGGAGGCGGTCGGCGCATGCGCGGCGCCACGACACCCGCCGCAGTACAAATCCAAGACTCGTAGTCAGCGCACGTAGCAACGCCTACGAACCCGTAGCGGCGCCGTAGCTCGTAGCACCCTCTAATGACTTACAACACTTCAAGTGCTAAAGTGATTTGAAAGTGAACATTACAGTGTAGGTAATAAAGGGAGGCAACGACATTTTGTGCTTTTCCGTTTGGGATAAGTTTCGATGAAGTAATAATATAAGGAACACGAATAACGGCCGTAACAAAGTTCCCTTTGTTTGTTGTGTGGCTCTGTTTGCTTCGGGATTTTCGGCGAATTTAAGTAATTTCGTAACAAGGTAAGTTGGATATTCGATGTTAAATCTCTCATTGTTGATTAACGCGAACGTTTGATTCGTTGTAATCGAACAAGGCGACCGTAGCTCGATTACAGTTTGTTACGAAAAGCATTGGTAGCAAACAACTTTGTTTATTTAATATCATTATTATTATTAACATTGAAACTGCTGCAAATAGCTTAGGTAGGTTTTTTGAATTGGTATCAAAGTAAATACCTTCGATTCGGGAAACATCTGATGCGACAAACATCTTTGAGACAGGTACATACAAGCAGTAAGTGATAAATGAGTGAGCAATGAGTTAGAACAATAATTGGAAGATTGAAAAAAAAACTTATAGAAATTTAATTGTATGTATGCAGTACACAATATAATTATAAGCAAACTAGCTATACCCGTCCGCTTCGCTGGGCATTTAAAATTAACATTATTATAATATTTATTGTCATTATTATTAAGGAGTCCAACACTCATATAAATATTAGCCTATCCATTAAGTACATGTATTTTCTAGATGGATACCAAGTTTCAAGTCTATCGGATGCATGGTTCAGTAGTTATAACGGAACACCCGTAAAAACTACTGCGGATTTATATATTAGGATTGATGTTCAAGAAAATGCATTGAATGTTCTTTTTTGAATATTCCTAAACTTATTTAGAGATATTTGCAGAACTCTTTTATCACTTTCGGATGATAAGCAACACATTTTAATAAAACTAAAAGTTCTGAAGCATTGTGTAACGCCCTGTGCGTAACTGAACATCAGAGCGTGACGTCACAAGACTCAATTGAACATTTAAGGCGAACGAAAGAAGAAAACAAGAGCGTTTAGATTTTTTTTGCTCTACTATTTTTATATTTAAAATTTAAGATTTGTTTTTGAACTAGCAGATTTCATTGAGGCAAAGAAACTTCAGAGTGAACTGATCATGTGCTTAACTCTTATTAGTCATACGTACGTACGTAATATGGAGAGTATTCGCGAATTTTGCAAAGAAAACGAACGAAGGAATATCTAGATAGAGCGTTAACAAGTAAATAACACATTTTTTTATTTTGTTGTTATTGCTTAGATGGGTGGACGAGCCCACAGCCCACCTGGTGTTAAGTGGTTACTGGAGCCCATAGACATCTACAACGTAAATGCGCCACTCACCTTGAGATATAAGTTCTAAGATCTCAGCATAGTTACAACGGCTGCCCCACCTTCCAAACCGCATTACTGCTTCACGGTAGAAATAGGCAGGGTGATGGTAACCACCCGCGCGGTCTCCTAAGAGATTCACCTATTTAAAATATTACGATAACTAAATTTGCATAAAAAATAGTAGTTTCTCATCTTTCGAACACAATTCATGCTGAATGCGATTCGTTAAGTAAATCAGAGAGTAATCGGTGTGTTAGGGAAAAAATAAACAATGAATAATTAAAGTAAAAAGGGCTCATATAAAAAATAATTAAGTTAAGCGGCTGTACAATCAAAATATGGCAAGCACAGTTAAAAAGAAACTGAATATTTTCTTGTGCTTGTGGATGCGTTTACGTCATGCCTGTTATTATTAATAACTAGCTGACCCGGCAGACTTCGTAGTGCCTCAACCGATAAATAAAAGACCTAAACTTTTGTATAAAATAAAATTAAAACAAACAAAAGGAATCCGTCCGACGGGGGACAAACCTAAGGAAAAACAAAATTGTTATTTTTATTTAATTCCGAGCATTTTCATATTTATCTACCTTTTAAACCTTCTCTGGACTTCCACAAATAATTCAAGATCAAAATTAGCCAAATCGGTCCAGCCGTTCTCGAGTTTTAGCGAGACTAACGAACAGCAATTCATTTTTATACATATATAGATAAGTCTGTTCAATTGATTGTAATCGAATGAAATTGTTATTATTGAATATGTAATAATGGGTATTATTATAAATTTAGTCTACGATAATTGTGTGATTTGATAGGGATTTTTTTTTCATACGTAAACCAAACAGGTGTATCTTTCATCAAATGGAATTCTAATATTTAATTTACCGTTTTTTTTTACATCTAGATTTAAAGGTAGCGGTTATTGTAATGCCAATAACATTTGAAACTGGTGATAAAATAATCAAGATATTAAGGATCATATCACATTCACACATATGGTTTAGTGATGGATTTTGCCCACAAGGGAATGGTGTGGTGAAGTGGAATACAAATTCAATTACGTATTTTCACTGTGGATCTCGTGAATCTAGAAGAGAATGAGACCAAATTTACAATTACATTTCGCAAACAATGATATAATATCTATACTAATATATAAATCTACAGTGGTTTTTACGGATGTTCCGTTATAACTACTGAACCATGCGTCCGATTGACTTGAAACTTGGTATCCGTGTAGAAAATACATGTACTTAATGGATAGGCTAATATTTATATGAGTGTTGGACTTCCTATACCAGTTACGGGGGCATTAATGATGAGACTTTTTGTGGGGATGAGAAATAATGATGTTAATTTTCAATGCCCAGCGAAGCGGAAGGGTAGAGCTAGTTTTATTATAAAACATTTATCGGTATTTTTTCGATAGGATGTAATCACACGTCCAAGCTTACGCATACACTCCGATGAATCACATAGAAGATTAAGTAGGAAATAAAATATTCATAAAACAAGGGTGACATAGAATTCGTTCTCATCGCATCAGATGAGTCACACAGCGAAAGGACCCTAACGAATCCAATATGAGGTAAAGCGGGGGAGGCCTGTCCCCCATGGGAGCCGCTGATTTCTATAATTAGTTTGAACAGTCCCCACACTATGCAGCTGTTGGGGTGGATCTGGGAACACGCTCACGTCATTAATGCGGTCGTGGTGTGGATAAAAACGTTGTTGCTGTTGCGAATTTAATTCGCATGTAAAGAAAAACCTTTATTATTTAACACGTTTACTGGTGGTAGGACCTCTTGTGAGTCCACGCGGGTACCACCGCCTTGCCTATTTCTGCCGTGAAGCAGTAATGCGTTTCGGTTTGAAGGGTGGGACAGCCGTTGTAATTATACTTGAGACCTTAGAACTTATATGTCAAGGTGGGTGACGCATTTAGGTCGTAGATGTCTATGGGCTCCAGTAACCACTTAACACCAGGCGGGCTGTGAGCTCGTCCCCCCTTCTAAGCAATAAAAAAAAAGCAACATCAACTTTCCGACTGTCCATCTCCCGTGCAATTCGTTAACGATAATTCACACTAATTCTTTTAAGTCTGTTAAAACTACAATTATATCTTGCACAGTGCTTGATGAATGTGTTGCCCAAACATCGACGCAAGACAATTTACTAAGTTTGATTTGACTAAGTAATGTGATTCAAAGAGAGAACTTTGCCAGCGATTTAGAGTAAGTTTCGCCCTATCAATAGTATTGGATTTAGTTGACAAGTTTGTCAACTAATGACGATTCTTTGACAGAGCGAAGCCGTGCATCACGTACAGACAAAAGCTTTTTCTTTATAAAGCACATGATCAAGCTTCCGTTAAGAACCTTGTTTATGTTTTTCTATAAATTACAAGAGATTTGTTTCATTAAATTCCTTTTCATGTGTATTCGAATCTTATTTGAATTTCGATCGAACAATACCCCTTTGCCAAGGAGATTGATTGTGAAATGCTGTATCATTCTAACTCTTTCCTCTACACTAGTCTACTCAATAAGAGAGAAAGAGACAGAGCCATCGTTAAAAACTTAACTTTTTAAATATTTAAACAGTTGTTAGAATTACAGGGCTTACAAATGCCTATATAGGATGCATTATTTATCGAAAGACACTACCATGAATTTTTCCAATTAGCTAAGACTTTGTGAAATTAAATAGTCGTATCTTCATATCTAACATAAGAGAAACAGTGACGTATTACCCAAAATATAGCGTCTAAATTAACATTATCTCGCTCAGCACTCAGCACACATTTTCATTAGAATCACCGCGGTCACCGGCCTTTATAATCGTTTCAAAGCTTTGCAGCTGAAATAACACCGCCTTATAAGTCGGCAGCAAGGTCGGACGGTCCGTTGTCGCTCTCTTTAAATATTTAAAATAATAATTACAGGTTGATTAATTAATTACAAGCGGATTTCGGACACTTATTTTTTATTTTCTTATTTATTGCGTAGATGAGTGAACAAGCTCACAGCCCACCTGGTGTTAAATGGTTACCGGAGCCCATAGACATCTACAACGTAAATGCGCCACCCACCTTGGGATATAAGTTCTAAGGTCTCAGTGTAGTTACAACGGCTGCCCCGCCCTTCAAAACGAAACGCATTACTGCTTCACGGCAGAAATAGGCAGTGTGGTGGTACCTAGCCGTGCAGACTCTCAAGAGGTCCTACCACCTGTAAACTTTACTTTGATATGTACCACTTTACTATGATAACGTGATAGTTACATATGTTCTGTTTAAAATACCTTTTTTTTAATCCATACCTAAGCTGATAGCCTTGAGAGGCGATTTCAGCGTAACCTTAACTAGTAGATGAGCTCACGGGGCTTAAACCTGACGACGTTGCTAACACGAACCCTAGCAAGAGCCGTGCTTCGCAGAATCTATCACCGGGTCGGAAACGCGACCCACTGAGAAGATCCGGCGAGAAACTCAGTGGGCTGTGTCTGTGGGCTAATTTACTCGCCGAGCCCTTTGCCACAAGCGACGGGTTCGACGAGAACGATGACCGGTGCTTGAGGTACCTAAAAGCATCGTTAATGGATCGGGAGGATCCGAAATGACGTGTTAAAATACCGATATTTAGATGAAGATATTATTAATTAATTGTATTGTTAAAGGTATATTCACCTAGTTCGGTTCAGTGGGCATTGACGAATAGCAGCAGTTTATCTGTTTGCGTTGACTATAGGTGATAGCTAGGCAGCAAAATAGGGCACCGCTACTATGGATAATGAGTTAAAAGTCTGTCTCGAACCGGAATGAATATATTTTTTTTTGCCTAGATGGGT